ATCTGTATTATCATTTATTGCAGTTACCGACATTATACATAAGTTCAAAGAGTTCTTGAAACAAGAAATAATTTACAACAAATGCCATAAATCAACTTTTTAATTAAAGCCCGAAAAACGGGGAGTTCCAGGGAGTTTAAACCTTGACCTAAGGCAATATTTTTCGCAATAAATCATTCGCAGATTTTAAGATTTTCATTAACATCTAACTTAATATTCTTATAAATGTCTATTAGCAAATTATTAAATTGCTTGTCAATTTAACAAAATAATATTATTACTCTGGTCCTGCTCATGATGGTGTTTCAAGACTGAAAAATATTTCGGCGCGCAATGTGCAGAATCAGATATATGTATATAAATTCTTAGAAATATCTAAGCACTAAGATCCTGCTTTGAACATAGGAATTTTCGTATTTAATTAGATTTATTTTCATCGGTCTAAATTCGTATCATATTTTTTAACTATAGTTTTATTGAAATTCTATAGAACTTCAAATAATAGTTATAAGGAGCATAATATTTTTTGGTCAAGACTGTATATTCTTCAGTACCGCGCAAAAAAAGAAACACAACAGACGAATATCTCGTTCGACAAAAATTCGTTTAGCGTGTTTATCTTAAGGACGTCCCGTCCGATGTACGTTCGTCAACGCGTGCCGTTTCTTCAACGATTTTCTGATGGAATAACGACCGAGCGATATGCGCGGGAACGACGTTGTTTTCAATCCGCTCGTTGGCCGTCAGGAGCTATCAGGATGATTCCGGCGTCGTTGACTAAATCGCTTTTGGCACCGAGCGTTGGGCACAGAGAGGATAGTAATTTTCTACACGAGAACGTGCACTCTATCTCTATGAGGACACTGACTCGATATCACGTTCGAGAGGACTGAAATAAAGTAAGTGCCGCGAATAAGAAGGCTGCGGGACATGCTCGCATTTTCGCCGAAGGGCACCCCCATAACTGTCTCTAATAACTGTCAGCCGCAGTCGCACTTATAAACTCCCGGATCCGGGATTCCTTCGCCGCCACGACGAGATTAATCCCGAGCTCACCTACCCTTCTGGCCGAGTACGTTTGCGTCGTAACTCTCTTTAATCCAAGAATAGAGTCGCGTTCTTCGTGCGAAGAAAGATACGCCGTTTCTTTCTGTATCGCTAGAAAAGAAATCCAGACTCGGCGAGGTGCGAACTCGGCTAATTAACTTCCGCTCTTTCGTCGCGTGACGTTATTAATTCTTGACAAGCTAGATCGCGATTTGACTTTCTTTCTCGAAGAAAGAACGAAAATCGTATTGCCGATATGACATTCTGTTATTAATTATAAAATTAATTTTTCATGTTTCTATCTTTTCGTGAAGCTTACGATTACTTTCATCGAATTCTCACCATCCGTTCGCTACTCCATTTTTCTCTCTACTTTCCTACATTTTTTTAGTCGTCGGATCATACCGGCATTCTCTACGCTTCTCCCTTTTTCTTTCTAGTGTCTGGCGCGGTATTGGATCTGGACGTAGCGTAGAGCTATCGTGTTACGTTTACCGCGAAAAAATTCCGGTCTCGCTGATTCGATCAACCTGCCGCGAGGACGGTACGCCACATGAAACTCCAAAAAGATCGTCAAGGTACTCTGCGAGAATCGTGCATCGTTTAAAGGAATAAAAACATAAATCATTATTTTATTTACGAAAAGTAAATAAAAAGTAGATAAATCTCAAGCATAACGATTAATGTGTGCAGAAAACATACAATCTCGCTATTATACACTGCTGACATTTGAAGTTATTCTTATGATTATTTAAAGAGTTTTTAGTTTTATCTTATTTTATGTTAATTTTATTATAGTTATAACTGTAATTTTATATACTTATATATTTTAAAACACAAAAAATCTATAAAAATGCTACTTGATTATAAAAATCTCAAAAAATTATTTTAATTCGGCAAAATAATATTTTAAAAATAATATTGCATATGTATTGTGAGACACTAAATTTTGTATGTGTATATATATATATATATATATATACATACATAAAATAAGCACTCGGTATTTATTCGATTGAAGTTGTAACATCCGTGGAGATTTTTGCGGATTTCAAGCGCGCAG